GGTTCTTATAACGAAGCAGATGTCCAATCCTTCATCAGTCACATGCATGGAGGAAGAAAGATTACTCCGTCCCTAACTACCAACTACCAACACCCAAACTTACTCTTTTTGTCTCTGAACGTCCAAAACTTCACCTTTTGTGCAAAATGAGTTCGATTGCCAAATCAGAAATGGATACATCTTCCCTGAATGGTTTCTGGGTTCAAAATCAAAGCAGAAGATGATGAGGGCAGTTCATCTAATCCTAAAAATGAGTTGTTTTTTTTGTGTGTGTGTGTATGTGTGTGTGTGTATATATATATATATATATATATATATATATATATAGAGAGAGAGAGAGAGAGAGATAGAGAAAGAAAGAAAGAAGTTTATTATTATGATTTATAATTATTTAAATATATAAAGCATGAAAGAAAAATATAAAATAAATATATAAGGGTATTACAATAATTTCAGTTTTCAAAGGGACTAAAATCACATATAAACATAGTCAAAAGGACCACGAAGCCAAAAAAATCGAAGTTTGGACTAATACCCGATAAAAATACATATCACGTGGACCAGCTTTGTCCTATCTCTTATTCTAATCTCCATATCTAATAAAAGAATAGTTTTATTCTCCTCTTGACATGTGTCATCTTATTAAACCTCATAATTAATGCATATTTTATTTTCCTTTTGTCATGTGTCATTATATTATATTTCCTAATCTCCTAATTAATACATGACATTTATAAACCTATTTATTCTCCATTTCAAATTTTAAATTTGTCATTTTAATTATATTAAATTAATAACATTAGAATAAAATTTAAAATAAACTTAAAACAAATTATAAAGTGATATAATTTCACATATTCATTTAAATCAATGATTAAAATTTATATTACTAAAAAAATCATTTAATTAATAATTTATTTAAAATAATTGATTAATAATTTTTAGTTTTTATTTTAAAAGTTTAATTAATTGTATAACCATGGTTCTCAAGAGTTATAAACTAGTTTCTAATAAGTTTATTCTCTTATTGACATGTATCATACTATTAGAACTTCTCATTAATATTAAATGTCACCTATCATACCACTTATCAACCAATTAATTATTTATTTTAAATTTCAAAATTTAAATTTATCACTCTAATTATATTAAATTCTCCATTTTAAATTTGAAATTATAAATTTTCTCAGTATAATTATATTAAATTAATAACATTAAATTAAAAAATAAAATAAAGTTAATACATATTATAAGGTGATATAACTTTACATATTTATTTAGATCAACGATTATAATTTTATATAATTAAAAAAATATTACTTAAATAATAATTTATTTAAAATAACTGATTAATAATTTTTAATTTTTAATATGATAATTTAATTAATTTTATAAGATTGGTTTTCACATTATAAATTAGTATTTTAATAATTTGTTTGCCATTTACTTGAAATGATCCAAGCTAGAGAAAACGATACATTATTTCTACTCACCGCATATTAGGGTTGAAATAAATTTAAATCATATTCATATAAAAGTATAAAACCCTCTCCAACCTCACCTTCGATTCTTGTTCCCTACATCGACATTGATTTTGAAGATTTTGCAGTTGAAGGAATTGGCCCGAATCAGGGTATCGTTCCCCATTACAAGTAGAACAACGCACTGTAGCTTTTGGAGACGGTAGAGGTAAATTTGTATTTATGTTTTCAGTTTAAGGTTTTGATCGATTTTGATGATGATATGCGTTTCTGGGGTAATGTATTGTTTGGGTTCATATTAGTTTCATTAGGGAAAGTTGTTGCCACGATTAGTTGTGAAGAAAAGTATGCATTATCCATGGGAGGCTGAGGTCAATAGTGCACACAAGAAAGCTATTTTAGTATAAATAATGGTATTGTCCATTTTCTGCTATGCCAATCACCTATTTGGGAATTTCATATAATAATGATAAGAGTATTAAAAAAAATCATGAAAGATATTTTCAATTTCCTTCCACATATTCACTTTGAAATTTTATCTTATTTATCACTTAATCCATTTCCTAAAGTTATTCTTCTTTCTAATCTTTAGATTTGTTGAGGTTGCTCGGGCATTAGATACCATAAATGCAACCCTGTCCAACCCCAACCTGATCAAAATCAAATATTGCCTGTTTTGGGGTAAACCACCAGCAGTGTGTCTTAATGGTTAAGGCCAACATTGCACTAATAAGCCCAATATATTGGGTTTGGTTGATGTGGGACAAGTGTGTACTCCTCCATTCAGACACTTGGGTTCATCTAGTTGTCTCCCACCACAAGAGACAACCAAACGATAAGAATCAATCCTAATAGAATTAACTCCTTCCATTTTCTTGAGGACTAAGAAGAAAAATAACTTTTGAAAATTGATTGAAAGACAAATAAGATAGAATTACAGAGAGAGATTAAGAGGGGGGAATTGATAATATCATTCATTCATAATCGTTTGGGGCTCTCTCCTACCATTATGTTACATTTAAGTAGGTTCTTATGTTATGCCATAAGAAAAATATAAAGCATGCAGAAGTTAGATAATACTCTTATGTAGACCAAAAAATGAAGTAGCTTATTGGGATACACTATTGGACCACGACCTTCCATGGATCGCATGCACATCAAGTAATGCCATGCCATAAGGTCACGTGGCACATGCCTCTAGCGGCCATATGACTATATGAAATACAAATACAGTTGTGTGAGAGTTTGTTTTACTTCTTGTACAGTCTTATAGATTTTTTTCCAGCATGAATGCTAACACAGTGTCTAGTATGTCAAAGCTAGATCTTTCCTTATATTGGACTCACTAGGGATTTACTTCAAATATCGCAGTAAAACAAAATAACTACTAAATTATGATACTTGATAGTTGATAAATCGTTATAACCCCTTTAGTCAAAATCAGTCAAATACGTCATGAATAAGTCAAAGTCGATGGCATAAATATGAAACTCAACATAATGAAAAACATATAGCATGCATGCTTCTAGATTTGATATGTATCTAGTTTCCGTGAATTCAACGGGAACGAGTATGACACCTAAATCACATTAAAGAACCCATACAAATCAATATTGAAACATCATCGCAACCCCAAAGCAACCCTTTAAACCATCTACAAATATCATTAATAACCCACCAATAAATTTTGGGATCAAATACAATTGATAAACTCCAAGATAATTTATTATTTTCAAAATAAATTATCATTTAATTAGGTAATAGAGCCGGCCGCGATATTTACTAAATTTAGGCTCTAAAACTTGTTAATTCTGGAAAGTACAAAAAATATATTATGTATTGTGTTCATTTCATCTTGTAATAACTTATTAGACAAACTTTCATTCAAATATAACACAAAAAAATAAACTTGTTTCTACTTGAAAACGGTCAATTAGGTCTTCATAAGAGACAAAGTTTTCAATCACGTCTTCATGAGAGAGATTCTCTTTCGGTCATCCTTTTTTTAACATTCGTTGAAAATGGCGAGGAGGCATACTAAAGTGTAGAGAAACAACTCAGCAAAACGTCTGAATCAAAGACTGAAACAGTGAAATTAAAGTATGTATGTGGACTGTGAAGATGAGAAACAAAATCACTTTCTTATGCATTGAGAAGATAAGTGTCTGATTTTTGAATGTTTGTTGTCTGATTTTTTATTTTTGGGAGGGTGTTTAGTCTAAAAAGTCATTTTCAACAAAAAGATTTTTTGACTTATAACTTTTTTTAAAAGGTGTTTAGATTAACTTTTAAAAAAGTAAATGTTAAAAAACTAAAAGTCACAAATTCCTAAATTTTTAAACCACATATTAAAAGAACTTTTAAAATTGCCACAACACTTTTCCAAACTTTTAGACCAAAGATCCAAAAAAATCACTTTTAAAAATAATCCCAAACACCCTCTAAAAGCTAAAACAATATTGGTTGGGGGCTCAAACAGGGTCGGACCTTTTTTTTTTTATTTTTTTTTATTTTTTATGATGTGCTATGTATTTGGTATTTAGAGGGCCCAAATCAGTTCAGTAATGGAAATCCAGGGCCGACACAGTAGAGAAGTGCCTGAAGCCGGAAAAAAAGAGGTCCAGCCGTTTGCTCCTCTAGTCGGCTAGTCCTCTCGGCTCTTGATGACATCGCAAAAATCAACGATGGAAACCGGATCGTTTCGGATCTCAAGAATTAAGACTCACCTTCAAAAACCGTCTTTCAAAAATCCGATTCACGTGCGTTCAGAAATTCAAATCGCGAAAATACGACTCTCCTCATTTGAGATTGTCAAATCAGACTTATGGTTGTTCAGAAATCAGAGTCGCAAATCATACTCACGTTTCAATTTAAGAAATTGTTTTTGTTTCTCACCTTCGCAGTCGCCAGCCGACATTGCTTCAGCCTTTTCAAAACCATACAACCAACATTCAGAAATCAGACACTCGCCTTCGCACTATTACAAAAATTGCTTTTGTTTCACCTTCACAAACCTGCTAAATGCCTCATTGCCTCGTTGTCACTGTTTCACTGAAGTGTTACTCTTTGAGTCTTTCGTATGTTCTTTTGTTGAATTGTTTCTCCAATTTTGTTTTGTTTCACGGTTTTTGACTTTATGTCTTTCAGATTTTCTTTCTCAGCAATAGAGAAGGAAATCTACAAATTAGTGTTAACAAGGGAAAAGCAGAAAGAGAATCTAGTCATCTACAAATAAGGTTTTCAATTGTTGGGATAATGAACTGAAAGGAAAGGGTAACGAAATTTCGACTTTTCACTAAAAAAATTTTCGTTATCTATTTGCCTTTGAACTATTGAAACTGTTTACGTTTTACCCTTATGGCTGTTTCCGATGATAAGGGTAAAATGTGAACGGTTTCAATAGTTTATATCTTATGTCGCAGACTTGTCTCTATGCCCCACTTGATTTTCAATGATTTCTCTATTATAACATGCTCTTTTTGTTTCTTCCTATTATAACATCATACATAGTTTACAGATATGCCGACTTTATTTTCTCAATCAAAAAAGAGAAAAATGTTGTCGGATGTACATTTGGAGAAGATTGTGCACACGTACAACATTGACATTGCCCCCTACGATTTGGTCTCGGAAGAAAGTCAATCATCGAGTCAATGCATGAGAAATATGGCAGATTCAATTGCATCTGTAGAAGCCATATTGAGGTATAAATTCAATAACAGAAGTTTGTTGGAAGCAGCCCTAACTCATACTTCATACACTGAGTCTGAGTCCTACCAACGTCTCGAACTCCTTGGTGATGCTGTTGTTGGACTTGTCATCACAATTTTCTTTTACTTGGCTTACCCTGATGTTGACCCTGGTCAAATCTCTCTCCTCCGCTCTGCCAATATTAGTACCGAAAAACTTGCACGTGTGGCTGTTCGCAACGGGCTTTACAAATATGTCCGCCACAAAACCATCCTTCTCAATGATAAGGTATTACCTATCTATCTATATACATTTTGTTTTGCATATCCTACGTGGCATTTTAATTTTCAGAAACTGTAATTGTTATTCCAGATGATTGTTACCATTTTTCCAGAAACTATCATTGCTATTCCACATAAGCTTTTATAATTTTAAATTAACAATACCATGTAGTCTTTTTAACTCCACGTAAGCTATACAACCGTTTTTCTTGGGTTATCTGGTTACCAAAATTAGAAAATATAACGGTTTTAATGGATGCTAAAATAACATATTGTTTTTTTGAGCATGGGCGTTCAGGTTTTTGATATTTTTTTTCCTATATTTATGCCGTTACTTTTTGTAATTGAAATGTGAGAATATGGTGTTTGTTGGTATTAGGTTAGGAAATTTGTGATTGCGGTTGAAGATGAAGATGAGATGGTGGTGCATGGTGGGCAAATGAAAGCTCCAAAGGTGCTTGCTGATATTGTTGAATCGGTTGTTGGTGCTGTTTATGTAGATTGTGGGTTCTGTTTGCAAAGCCTGTGGATGGTGAGTAGTTGTGATCCTATATTCCTATTCCTATACAATCTCTTCAAATTCAATCAGGTCTTCCATCCTAACATTTAGCTCTGTCCCACTTGCCACTTGACCTCTATTTCTTTTTTATTCAATTACCTATTCAGTCTAGAAAAGTAACAGACCTTATGTAAAAGAAACGAACAGCCACTAAGCCACGGTTTTGCAATGAGGAAAAGTATGTGTAGACTGACTCGATAGCAGTGGATCAAATTGCTTTGACTTTTTGTTTTCAGATAATTAGAGAGCTACTTGAACCGATGGTTATGCTAGATGTTCTCGAGAAACAGCCGCAGCCTATTACCATGCTATACGAGGCATGCCAAAAAGAGGGGAAATTTGTTGACATAAAGAATTGGAGGAAAGGTTAGAACTTCTCTATAAAACTAATATTATAATATCCCTTGAGAAGAGAGATGCTAATATGTTCTCACCTTTTTTCAGGTGAGAGAAACATCGCAAGTGTTTATGTAGATGGAAGATTTATTGCCTCTGGCTCTTCAGAGAACAAAGAGAATGCTAAGCTTCATGCAGCTGAGGTTGCTCTATCAAAGTTAACAAGGCTAAAAAGCACGGATGCAATAAGTAGTAGTAGCCTACACATGAACATGATGTATCCTGATTGTTACAAGAGTGAATGCAGCAGGGACATGGAAAATTCCATTGGAGCTGTAGAAGCCATATTGAGGTACAACTTCAAGAGGAAAAGTTTGTTGGAAGCAGCCCTAACTCATTCTTCTTACACCGAGTCTCAATCCTACCAACGTCTGGAAATCCTGGGTGATTCTGTTCTTCGACTTGCCATCACTAATTTTATCTACTTGGCGTACCCTGATGTTGACCCTGGTCAAATCTCTCTCCTCCGTGCTGCCAACATTAGTACTGAAAAACTTGCACGCGTGGCGGTCCACAATGGGCTTTACAAATATGTCCGCCACAAAACCGTTGTTCTGAATGATAAGGTATTTTACCTATCTCTTGTTATTCCGTAATGCTCACTCAAAAAAGCCATTGCGTTATTATATGGTTTATGTTGTAATTAGGTTAGGGAATTTGTGATTGTGGTCGAAGAAGAAGAAGAAGATGAGATGGTGGTCCACGGTGGACAGATGAAAGCTCCAAAGGTGCTTGCTGATATTGTTGAATCGGTTGCTGGAGCTGTATTTGAAGATTGTGATTTCAATTTGCAAATCCTGTGGGTGGTGAGTGATTGTCATCCTTGCAAATTACTATTGCATAATTAAGATTTTGGAGTGAGAAGCTGATTCCTCTATACTATCAGGCTGTTTCTTTTTTACTTAATATGGACTGTTGACCCAAAAAACTCGGCTTAATGTTTTAAGACACTAACCCTTTACCTATTCAGTCTGGAAAAGAAACAAACTTTACATATTATCCATACAAGTCTTAATGTGAAAAAAAAGGTACAACCGATAAGCCATAGAGGAAAAGCTTCTGTGTAGAACGACCCTGACCCCGACATGATAACATAATTTGGTAGCGAATCAAATTGATGAATTACTGACTTTTTGTTTTCAGGTAATTAGAGAGCTACTTGAGCCGATGGTTATGTTAAATGTTCTTGAGAAACAGCCACAGCCTATTACCATGCTATATGAGGCATGCCAAAAAGAGGGGAAAATTGTTGACATAAAGAATTGGAGGAAAGGTTACAGCTTCTCTATATTATATGCATTTGCATCCTACGAATAGTGTGATATGATGGTATCTTATGTATTTGCATCTTTTTTCAGGTGAAAGAAACATTGCAAGTGTTTATGTTGATGGAAAGTTTATTGCCTCTAGCTCTTCAGAGAACAAAGAGAATGCTAAGCTTCATGCAGCTGAGGTTGCTCTATCTAAGTTAACAAGGCTAAAAAGCACTGATGCAATGAAAGATGATTCTGGTGAAGCCACTGAGATTAAAGGTGCAAAACGAAAAATACATGAACTTTGTAACAGGAGAAGGTGGCCAAAAGCGACTTACAGGTATGTAAATATTTTGCCTTTATTACTAATTAGATCATGTTAGATTGATTAAAGATGGAAACCAAATAATTACAAAATCCATTTAATTTTAATGTTTTTTTTTTCTTTTTCTTGCAGAGTTGAGCAAGAATCGGGTCCTGCACACAATAGAAGATATATAGCATCCGTGCAAATTGAACTTTCTGGTAAGATATTTTTCATGAAGGGAGAAGAGAGGTCAAAAGTCAAGGATGCAGAAAATTCTGCAGCTTCATCTATGTTTTATTCTTTACGAGAATTGGGATATTAATGAATGTCTGAAAACAAAAACTCATCTATGCATCTTACATTTGCCGCATTTGATTGTTACAAGAGTGGCAAGTAAAAACTCCAATAAAATATATATTTGTTTATAAATACAAAAAAGGACACCAGATAAAAAAGGAAAATCATATCCGTTCTAACGACTTCAATATGGAACCGAAAAGTCCAAATCTTTTTTTTTTTTGGAAACGGTGAGATATATAAACTAACAAGACATCACGACTAGCAAGGAACTAGAGCGTGGGCCGAAACAAGACACAATTACATGCAAAGAAAGATAAAGAAATTACATTATCCATAATATTGGTAGGGGAAGATATAAGGTTTTTAAATACCTTGTTATTTCTCAACTACTAGACATCACCACAATGAACAGATGATTGACATGAAGAGTTTGTGTTTTCTAGGGCACATAGTAGTGAAATCGAGAAGTTCCACAACACGAGTGAATTGTTGCAACGCCATTTTAGCACCCATTTTATGACCTAGTCAGCAAAATCATATATGGTTAACATGTTGTCAATATATTCAATGAGAGTAAAGCTTGCATAAAGAAGATTAAATGTCTGCACCTCTAGTAATGAATGTCTCGGTAGAGCCAGTGAGTCTGCCAAGGCAAGCACTTCACATAAAACATGTGATTTTCAACGAAACTACTTTATCCATCTGATATGATTAGCATCAGGGGCTGTGCAATAGGAATCCAAGTACCATCGCAAGACGTTGACTTTGAAGCAATCATTCGGGGATAAGTTAACATGCATTTTGAAATACTTCCACTTAGATTTTGAATCCCCCTAATTTCATATGGTTGATTTATTAGAACTGCAATGGATTTAACAAGCTTATTACCAATTTTATAATGACTAGTTACCTTGATCCGATTAATTAATATTATTAATTATGAAGTAACTAACACAAGGATCATGCGATTAGCTAACTAAATATCAATTAAATATTCGAGTTATGAGTGAAATGATCTAAGTGATTTCTAATGGATGATGATGACAATCAATTGAAACATGTCATGGATATCTAATTTGGTCCATCACTAGTCTCACACATTTAAGTTTACAATAATATCGGATTTGGTTCATCGCTAGTCTCAACCCTTTATTTTTCATAAATTCATTAAGTTACAAGTCAATAAAATTAGATTGGTCCTCATAACTATATCAAACTTAGTTGTAGGCAATAAAAATCTAAACATTAAGGTAAAACGATCAATCAAACAAACTACATAACCAAACTTTATAAATCCAACTAATAAATCAAATCATATTAGTTAGAGTTAATCTACATCTAAGCGGAAGTAAAAGGGTATTTGTCATAATCATCGTTGGAAAACAAAAAATAATCAAATAAGAAATGCTAAACATGGTGTCTAAAGCAAACCTAATGATTTTAGAACGTTTGCAAGCTTTAACTTTCAAAATGATGCTAAAAAATTGTTCTTCATCCTTGATTTCGACCAAAAAAGGTGTTAGATGAATTACTTTTCGTCTTTGAGGGTTGGTATCTCCAATATTTTTCAGCATATTGATTAGAATGGAAAAAATCATGTATTTATTGAATTCAGAGATGTCGCATCGTGTTCATGTATTTTCTGTGTTGTTGAGCATATTGTGCCCGGATCCTGCTTGAACTCTAAAGCTAGGTTGTGGCGCTACATGCTCTTTGTAGCGTCGCGGTTTTTCGAATTTAGGAAACTTTTTATCTTTATCTGTATCAACTCCATTCTTGTCCTAATATTTTCCTTTTTCTTAGCAGCTCTAATTTTAACTATATTTATCCAATTCAAAGCTTATTTGTAATGTTTGTAGATTTGAGGCCATCAACTCGCCGAGTTCCAACGGAAACTTGCCTTTTAAAAAATAAATCTCTTACCTAGAAATTGGGGATGTTAAAAGTCATATAATAGTTGGCATTGGTTTATTAATCATGTCAAGAAACATGTGGTAAAAAACGAGAGGGCATTTGTTTAATATCTGATCGTCATAGTGGAATACTAAAGGTTGTTAATGAGCAAGAATCTCCCTAGTTGGAGCCATATAGTTTTCACATGTATTATTTATTTTATTTCGTTAACCGCTTTTATGGTACAATTAGTTTATAAATGACATTTGAAAATGTTTTTACATGTATCGCTTGTGACATTACACCAACAACTTCCATGACAAGTTTTGTAACTCACGATTGAAAGTTTTAACTTACTGTGTTGGGAGTCATAACCAAGTTCGTAAGTTCAACTCCATTATGAAAGAAATTAGACAGCTAAATGCACAAGCTCGCCAATGGCTTGAGGGGCACTCCCTTTGTAGATGGATACTAGCACATGATTGTAGAAAGCGTTATGGAGCCCACTACAAATATGTCAGGGGTTTTCAACAATGTACTTAAGGAGCTCGTTTTTTTACCAATCACTCCATGTGTCTAACTTACATTCTACAGATTGGTTCACTACTTTGATGTCAGCCATCTTTTAGGATCAACTGCTCAAGCTAAAGGAGATATGTTTACACCCCCATGTGCTTGTAAAATAAGCAACACCAATGTCAAAAGTTACTGCACACAACTTAAAATCATTTAATCGAACGAAAGAAATTTTAGAGGTGGTTATGCAGAACGGAAAAAATGTGCAAGTTGTTGATTTTGAGAAAAAAATCTTGCACATGTGGTAAGTTGGAGGTATATAAATATCATTGTTCACATGTATTGAGTGTGCTTATTTTTCTTTAAATAGTAGTCAATATATTCAACAATATTACTTAATTGTTGGGTATTCAGCTACTTGGGTATCTGAGTTTTTCCCGGTTCCCCATGAATCATATTGGCCGGAGACAACTATTCAAAGAATGCTTCCAAATTCAGAATTAAAACGAAAGGAAAAAGATCGTTCTCCCTCAACAAAACTACGGAATGGAATGAACATTAAAGAAGGGAAACAAATAATCTTTGTGGAATTTGTAGGTAACCTGGTCATTATCAGAATACATGTTCTTCCAAACCAAGAAAAAGATTTGTTGATCCATAATTGTGTTTATTCGAGTAGAATTTCTTAATTTTTTTGGTATTTTATTTTAAATTTATCCACTTTATATTAAAATTTTGAAGTTTTTTTATTAAAAGTTTTTTTTGTTAACTTTAGGCTACATTTACTAGATATGTTTTTGAATACATTTGATTTTGTAATATTTATAAAACTTTCATTTTTTTTATTTATAACTATTAATTTAAACGTCATCGTATATCATTTTGTATTATTATCTATCTCTTTAAAACAATGTAAATGTTGTTTGTGTAAAAGAATTTATTGAGACTGGTAGGTATGGGTAACGACCATACCGGCATTTTTAGAGAAAAAGAAAAAAAAAAAAAACGTTAAATGAAGATGGTGGTGGTAACGGAAAGCAACGTGCAGACGTATAACACCCAACAACGATGAAGATGAATGGTGTTTGTGTGCTATTACGTTCAAAAACACACCGATGAGCGTTATCCATACCCAACAGTCTGAATAGAAAGATAAAAAAAATAAGGTACTGGTTAGCAAAAAATAACTAGACCAAGGCAATTTTTTTTTTTTTTTTGAAAAATAGATTTTCTATACTACGATTTTAATTGTTATCTTGTATGAAATATACAATTTTAAAAATAAAGAAAATAAATATTTTTGTAGAAAATATAAATTTGGATAAATATGTATTACAATTAAAAGCTAATACTTTTAAACCCACTACAACGTATATCACATTGTTTTGTAATTAAATTAAAGACTACAAGGCTTTTGTAAATAAAATTTCAAAAATACCTTAAAAGCTCAAACAAAGCCATCCAGAAAGGGCTAGCGGCGCAACTTGTTGCCCGTTTGCCTTCAATCGATATGTATTGAACTGATAGTTTATATGTAACATTCAACCAAGACGGGTTAAATGAATCGAAACAAAAAGGCCCTCAACTACCTTAATCAATTCACTCGTTTATCACGTTCATCAGTCGTCCTCACCCTCGTTCTCTCCGCTTACTCTCACTGTGTGTGTCGACCGTTCACCAAGGCCATCGGCGTTCTTCCCGTTGCTGGCATCTCTTTCCTCCATCTCCGATCAGGTAAGTTTCACCTCCGATTTGGTTTTCCTTTTTGTGTCGATTTTTGTTTCTCATCTATCATTTATTCCACTATATTTGATTTGTTCCTTCAATTATCATACCTGTCGATTTTTCTTTGGTTTTCCGTCCACCGTATCTGATTTGTTCCTTTGATCATCATACCTGTGATGTTCTGAAATATTGATTATCATACCTTTGAGAGTGTATGGATTGTACCGTGTTGATGAAAATTGATGAGATATTGTGTTAACAGGTATAGATTTGTGAAATTGATGAGTTATGGATGAAATATTTGATCAAACTGATAAAAAATTTTTGTTCATACGGACCGATTTGTGTTAACCGGTACCCCTAAAAAAGCATTTTCAAAAACTCCTGTTGTAAAAACACTCTTTACAAAAATTTCATGAAAAGACCTTAAGGAGAATCCTAAGTCATAACTTAACATTCTATTTTGATTTTGTTTTCAAACCTTCTTCCATGTGATGTGGGTAGATGATACATAAGCATAATGTCATGCTACATTATGAACAACGGTTAGCGGTTAAAACCACCTATCAAGACAGATAATAAACAGAGAAAATAACTAAATTAACATATACAATATATAGCTGGTCACTTGGTTGTTGGTTGCTAAATCACAAACAATAAAAAGATAACACAAGCTTTCATTGTATTTCAATCAAAACACTCATAAATACCAAAAGATCAAAACCATAACCTAATGGTTTCTAGAGATTCGAGAGCCTAACCTCTCCCGAGGTATGAAATACACGATTTCTCACAAAATAGATGATGATACCAAACATACCCTCTACCCTCTTATTGTTGGATTAATAAAAACTTGATCTTTTAAATAACCAACTATTAATTAAAACACTTCTCACTTTTAAATAACATAATAGAAAACATCTCCCATCAAGAGGAATCTAATTACAAACTAACATATCAATTCTCAACATTATCAACAATAGCAATATGCATCAACAAACTCCAAACTCCAAAACATCATCACATCAACAGCAAAAGGCAGCAACACGCAAAAACATCATCCACCAAGAAAGTTTCCTATTGAATATTCAGCATTAGAAAGATTTAAAATTCAACAAAAAAAACCTGTCATTTCGGACATGTAACCACACTACTGTGGCATAAT